TACGCTGGTGATATTCCACGAGTCCAATATTTTTCTACCATTGCACGTGCCTGTTTATTTCAATAGAATATTTCCTTTTCACAACCAAGCTCTGCGATCACTAATAAAAGGTCGAAAAACAATGGCTCATAACTTAGGCTATTTAATTACAACTGAAGCTTATATTAAGACAATGACTTACTTTCCTTTACGTGATGTAGGTACACCTGCATGGACACAACAATGCTTCCGTCGTTTGTTTACAATTTTCTCTCATTTTCTATGCACTCTCCTGTTCACTTGGAGAAAAATTAACAAATCACTCAATTTCTGTGATTTAGTTTATGAAATTTTATAATTGCGTTGTAAAGGCGTACCTTCGCACATTTTTCGTCCATCAGATAAATGAATGAATGCTGTTTACCTAATTAAAACTACTGTTTGGGTTGAATTTATTAAGCAATGTAGAAAACTTTATGATTTGATTTATTAAAGTATATTAAAATATATTAGAAGAGGACATAATCAGAGTTAATAAGCTGACATTACAGCCATTTATGTTCTCGTTGCGGAACTGGAACTTCGAGTCTAAAATCATAGATGGCTCCGATGTCAGTTTACTAACTCTGTTTATGTGCTCCGAATATATTTTAATAAATCGAATCGACCGTGAAAAATTCACTAATTACTCAATGTCTGCGATTAATTTATGGACTTTTATAATTGCATCGTAAAACCAGGTCCTTCAAGAATTTTCACATATATTATTCGATTGAAATTTGTCCCTAATTAATTAATAATTAATGATTACTCTACGCAATGTTTGAATTGTTGTCGAAAATTGTCGAAGACGCCATTGGTTTTTCATTAATTACTATCCTCAACGCACTTAATTTATGAAACTTTATGCACTCGTTAGAAAGACAATGTTCTTGCGAATCTTCTCATATAACTTTTGATCACATTTTGCTTCTAGTTTCGTTTAGTAATAAATATTTTCACGGAAGGTCGTGATGGTCGCCGTTACGAAATCATAGACGCCATAAAGCAAAAATTAATAAGTATCAATTTAGAGCTAAATTCTTTACGAAAATTATATAGGAATGTAGCCTGAAGTTCCAGCTTTGCAACGAAATTATAAAGGTTCACAAATTGTTTACGGAAATTGAGTAATTAATAATTTTTCACTGCCGGAGCCATTCTATCCTTCTCTATCCCCACTCTGTCCTTGTCTACCACGCGACCAGCACTTCGTCGACCTCCTTGCCTATTCTATATTCCTATTACTTTTGGAGCATTTGGAGCCAAATAATAGATGACGCTGATCGCAGGCGGTAACATTTTTATTTAAACTAGATACCTCTTCTGGTTAGGCGCTAATAATACACCTTAATAAATCAATTCGGCAGCAGAAAATTAATAAATTTCCAATTTTTTGTAATTAATTCGTGAACATTTATAGCTGCGCAGCAAAGTTGGAATTATAGGCAACATTCTTATACAATGTTTAATTTAATAATTAGTTACTAGTAAATAAGATTGCTATAAAAGGTGTTTTTCTTGTATAATATTCTTATTAAGTAATAAATATATACTGGCCTAAGAAAGGGTAAAAAATAAATTTTTTTATTAAGAAATTTTATTTACAATGTTTTCATAGGCGAAAAATAAATACAAAATAAATAATAGATTGAAAAGAAAATATTAACTTATCTACCGGAATCGAACTCCAAGTCCTTGGGCATACTAATTCTCGACTATCATCATTAGGCTACAGCCCGAATTAAAAGCTTTTGAAAATAAAGCGATAATTAACGCAGTAATAAAACTTTAATCGTAAATATTTCAAAAGCTATTGAGTAGTTGTCGCTATAATGATATATTTTCTTAAATTGCATGACGATATCTACAATCCTACAAAGTTTCAACTAAATCGGTGACCCGAAGGACTTGCACTCTCCTTGTCAGATTAGGTAGAAAGAACAGATTGCGCCTGGAGGTCGTCTAACTCCACGTGACGTGCGGACCAATAAATAAACCAACAAAACGACATAAATAACTAACACGCATTTCCCTCCCTTCTGTTTGTTCACTTAAGAATCCCATAGAGTTTTCTACATTCTTTAATATATTCAGCCAAAAACAATGGTTTTAATTAGACAATCAGCATTCATTTCTTTATCTGACAGACGACAAATATCCAAAGGTACGCCTTTACAACGCAAGTATAAAAGTTCACAAATTAATCACGCAAATTAAGCGATTCGTTCATTTTTCTCCAAGTGTACAGGAGAGTGCATAGGAAATGAGAAAAAATCTCAAACAAACGCCGGAAGCAGTGTTGTGTCCACACAAGTGTGCCTGCATCACGCAAAAGAAAGTAAGTCTTCGTATTAACATAACCTACGGTTCTAATTAAATAGCGTAAGTTGTGAGCCATTGTTTTTCCACCTTTTATTACCGATAGCAAACCTTCGTGGTGAAAGGATAATATTCTGTTGAAATAAACAAGCATGTGCAACAGTAGAAAAATATTGCATTCATATTTTAGAAGAATTATATTTTACAGCGACAAAAAATTGGAGCAGCCATACAAATATGTTATGATATATCTGTTAGATTCTAGGTCGGCTTACCATATAACATACAAGATAGAAATTTTGATAATCAAATAATTATTCGGAAAATGGAGATGGCTTAGGCAGATAAAAAGGCATTAAATTAATTTAGGTGATGGCCTCTTATAACAACTAAGTATAGAGAATAAAGTGAGATTAAAAGGTATGTTGTATTCCTCATCTAAATAAATATTAATATCATTAGTCAAAATCAATGATTATCGCTAATGTGTCAAGTTTCAGAATGATGGGGCTGAAGTGCATAAAGAAAAGAGAAAAGTACAAATAAAAGCAGTGAAAAGAGGAAATGCATATAATGTTGAATCAAGAAACAGGAAAATGGCAGCATATATATCAACAGAGAAGTATGTGTGGCATGGACATGCTAATATAAGGATTATTCAAGAGGTGGAGAATGAACGCTTGGTAATATTTACAAAAATTAAAGATAAATTCAATATACAATGTATATGTTCCATTAAGGCACAAATCTGCAGAAATATCTATAGGAACTTGGAAATTATAAAAGCAGCAGAAATAATGGGGCTCTGGCACATGGAATTGTTTGGGCCAATAAAGACATCGTTAAAAGGAGGTAAAAGGTACGTCTTACCTGCTGATCATTATTCCAGACTAAATGACTAAAGATTTAATCAGAAATATTACAGACGCAGAATTTTTTTGTCATAGGAAACTTACAAACATGAGTAATATTTATTTGAAAGAGCCAGCCACTAAGGGTATAGTAATAAGTATTAGTTAAAAATATTTCAATGGGTTGTATATCTGTTTTCCAAAATTTAACCGATATGCAATAAATACTTTCTAAATTTCTATATTAATATATTAAATAATTTCTAATTTGAATTACAATAATATATAATAAATTTTAATACATTTCGTTTTAAAAATATTTTACGTCCATAATACTAATATATTTGTTATAACTAAGTTATAATGAAAACAACTGTTGGTGGTATTGAGTTAGAATTATGGGCAAAAGAAACTCCAAAGGCGTATTATTAGGATGACACTATATTTCATAGAATTATCCAAGGATTCATAACACAAGATAGTGATCCTATAGGTACAGGAGAATGTGGTAAAATACATGGAGAACCATTTAATGTGAGACTATATTTAAAAATAAAATGAATTCCTTTTTTATTTAAAAATAATTATTGGATATATGTGTTTTAGGACAAATTTCATGCAAGATTACGTTTTTGTCTACGAGATTTAATTGCTATGGTTAATGCGAGAAAGATGACAATGGTTCCCAATACTTCTTTATTCTTAGTTCTACACCTGGTCTGCAGAATAAGCATACAATCTTTGGTAGAGTTACTGGAGAATCTATATATGATATGCTTAAACTCGAAGAAGCACTTGTAGATGAGGTAAATTTAATGTTTGCAAGAATATGTATCAAGAATTGATATAAATATAATATTACCTCTTTTTGTAGATTGATAGACCACTTTAGCCTTCAAGATTGATAAAAACTATAATATTAAACAATCCATTTTCTGATATCATACCAAGAATAATAGTATAGAAACGTGAAGAAGTAAAGGACAATTCAAAAACTAAAGCAGCATCGGTAAAGTAAAAATCATATATATTTGCAAAATTTAGCCCTGATAGTATTGTTCTTTGCAATGAAAAATTTTCTTACAGATATTTCAATCTTTTATCATTTGGTGAAGAAGCAGGGGAAGATGATGAAGAATCTGTGATATTAAATAAAGAGTTTAATGGTAAGAGCAAATCAGCTCATGATCATTTAACTGATCCAAAATTAAGCTCACAACCAGAGCTGTTGAACCGCCTGGACCTGCAAATAAAAAAAGGACGGAAGACTGTAGTAGCGATTGGGAAAGTGACGACGAAGTAAAAGCTCAAGAAGAATTAGAAGTTATAAAGAAAGAGAAAGATTTAGTTTATTGTTTACGTTATAAATATGTTATAAAAAGTAGTAAGTTTTGTTGACTGACTTATATTTATATTTTCAGAGCAAAGGAAATGAAGGAAAGGATAAAAAATAAAATGAAAGTTACAAGAAAAGAACCGAAGAATTATGTCGTCAACAATTATCGTGTATATGTGAAACTTTCAAAGTGAATAAAATGTATCTAAGCATAAAACCATCCTAGTTTCATTTTCTTTTTAGCAAGAACGAAATCACTCGCTTTCATCTGTGATTTCATGTTCGTCGGGCTGTTAATCGAATAAAGAGAAGGGAGCATCTCCTCTCGATCCTTGTCTATCACGACTTCGTTTTTTTTCGACTTATTTTTTTCGAATTGTAGTAATTAAGGCTATATATGTATATATATAGTTACATAATTTAATACATAAGCATTATCAATTCCTTGATTGTACATTCTTTTAAAAAATTGAATAACCGCACGGTTATAAACGTAAGGTAGCATTATTCTAATATAGAAAATTAAGTTTCTAAATTTATAGAATTTGTTATAAACGCGAATTTTACCTTATTTTAGGATGGCTGATGACTGATGAGGCATGAGGATCCCCTTGCTTAATATCAATTTTACCTATTATTCCCTTTTTTAACTTTAAAATGTTGCTTTATAAACTTCT